AGGGGTTAGGGTTTAGGGTTTATTTGCCACAACCACTTCGGGCTGACCGCTTTGGGAGTCTTTCAGGGGCTGCCCGGGCTGAGGGTTGTCACAGGCTTTACAGGGACAAGGATGCAGCAATTACGGTTTAGGATGGTTCCTCCCTAATTTACCCTTAACCCTAAACCCTAAACCCCTAAACCCAAAACCCTACACCCTAAAACCCTAAACGCTAAACCCCTAAGCCCGTACTAACCCCTAAACCCCAAAACCCCTAAACCCTAAACCCCTAAACCCTTACACGCTAACCCCTAAACCCCTAAACCCCTGAACCGAAGAGGCCCTTCAGAGAAGCTTTATTGCGAGCCTTCGAACGGCGCTTGAGGGCCTGGTTCCCAACAGACGTCTTTCGGGGGGTTTGGGGTTCAGGGTTGGGGGTTTCGGGGTTTAGGGTTGGAGGGTTTAAGTAAGGGTTTGGGGGTTCAGGGTTTAGGGTTTAGCGTTTGGGGGTTTAAGTAAGGGTTTGGGGTTATCAAACTTGAAGAGGAATGAGAGGTATGGTTTCTGTTATAGCTGCACGTGGAGGTGCGTCGTGTTAGGTGCGGGTGGTGCGTGTGTTAGGTGCGGGTGGTGCGTGTGTTAGGTGCGTGAGGTGCGTGTGTTAGGTGCGTGTGGTGCGTGTGTGAGGTGCGTGTTAGGTGCGTGTGGTGCGAATGTTGGGTGCAGATGGTGCGTGTATTAGGTGCGTGTGGTGCGTGTCTGCAGCAAAGCAGCGGATCGAGTCGAGCATGATGGTATTATATCACCGAACTGAACCAATACTGTGATGTGCTCAGCTTTCCTACTTCTTATGGTCGTCCAGTCGTCTTCGTGAGCTGCCATTGAATGGCAGATAACCGAGAAGTTGTGGCTCCCTCGCCACGTGTGCCAGCCGCTGAGCGACTTTTCAGAGCTGCTCAGCAGCTTGTGCTCAATGCAGCACGGCAGCAGCCATTGCGGCAGAAGCATTCGCGGCATTCAGCTTGTGCTCTTGCCCGTGCAGGCAGGGGACAGATTGCTTCATTACATTGGGTAGCTCGTTGTGGTGTGATGGTACGACAGAACAGTTGCTACTAATTGTAGCAGGCAAAGAGAAGAAGATGATCCAGCATGCGTCTTCGCGTTTCTTGCAGCGGTTCAGGACATTCAACTTCTTGTTGCTCTTGTTTCGGTTCTCTTTCACATAGCAATGCTGAACTTCATCTGTATCAGCGGCAGGAGCAAGGTCCAAGCTTACAACCGGGATCATGCAGTGCGGCAGGGCGATCTCATCAACATAGATGCCCCCCCATCTTCTGAGAAAGTCAAAGGACGAGGCCAGGTTATAGAGCCCGCAGTGTCGGAATCGGAACATAAAACTCGAGCTGTGGCTGCAGGTCAATGGAGAACGTGGACTACGTCGGCAATGCTTCGAGTGTCGCAGGGGCCCCTGCATGGCGGCAGGTTTCTTTGTACGTGCTCTGTATTGCGTTGTGATTGTATATTATATTATTATATATTGATTCCACAGCCCAGGCTGGGGCGGGCGACATCATCGATCATGCGAAGGACTGCAGACGGGCCTCGGCTTCCGAAACTGCTCTCCAAATCCCCCACCATGTGTCGCAGTGGCATTGGCATACACAGTGAGCATGAAGCAATATCTTGGGTCCTGGTCCATGCTCCATATTCCTATTTGAGGTTCAGCATCAATAGCCTGGCATTTTGGGTCGGATGTGGCACGGACACCATATCTAAGGCAGGAATTCGATGACTGTGTGTCTTTAGCCTTGAGCAAAGCAATTTTGAAGCGAGTTGTTGATGCAGACCCGCCACGCCCTGTGTGACTACTACCTGTCCGAGCAGAAGAAGGGGTTTGAATATGTGACGATCAAGGAGTGTGATTTTAAGCGGTTCGTTGACTTGTATTAGTAGAGTACAGTAGAGTTAGAGTTAGTAGAGTTCTCTGAATGCAGGACGACCGCGCTGTGATTGGCTACCAGATTGAGTTTGACGAGACCGGTCAAATTCTCAGGCTCAAGCAACGGCGCAATGCCGGTGGGGACGGCGGAGAGACAAACGCCACGCTCGCTGTTTTGGCTGCTTGTTTGACATGTGACATGAGCGACAGTGACAGACCCTGGCGCAATTGGCTGCTAGCCTGTGACACTGACTGAAGGTTTCCAGATCCACCTGGCTGGTCACGAATGAGACAGGTGACACAATGAACTGCAAGTTTGTCAGAGACTGAGTGCCGCATCCTTCAAGTTGCCGTAAGCTGCGTTGATTGTTACTGAAAATTGAACTTGAACACAATATGAGTTCGAGGTCGTCAACCCGCCAGCGGTGCTGCAGCGGCAGACGGCAGTTGCGTTGTGGCAAGGCATAACCGCGACGCAGCCTGTACCGCCCCTGGGTATCTTGTCTGATCTCCCAACCCACCTCTTAATTCCGGGTATAATATCGAGAAATGTGTTGTAGGTAGGCAACAAAAGGATACCGATGCAGTTGGCCATATTGTTAGGCTGCTCAAACAACAGCCACGACGACAACAACCTACTGCCACTACCACTACCGTTCCACCACGTCGACGACGACG